AGTACTTAATTAGGTAAAAGGAAAAATACGATGTGATGCACAATCAAACGTTATTCAAAAAGTATTTTTATAAATTGTAACTAAATGATTTAAGTTGTATATAGGTATATGTGTGTTTCATGAAGGAAAAGGAACATATAGTATATAAATATGCGCTTGAGAGAATTTTGAATTCCGGAATTCGGATCGTGTTTTCCGGGGTACCTGTTTGGTTACAAATTTTTTTTGTGGTTCGATATTGTTACATAAAAGATTACATAATACCAATATTATTTAAGGTTTTCAAGTCGAAATTTTGACCTTGGGGTGCAGGGGTAACATACCTCATGAGAGATGGTTGTTTATTAAGTTACTCATTTGGGCTGGTCCAAACTTTTACCCTCCTCTATTAAAAACTGAAGTAGCGCCACTGATTATGTATTGCAGTTTATTGTGTAATTCTGTAATAGTATTGTATAATTTTAGATTCTGAGGGGAGCGATTGATTTTACAACGATGTGTTTTTTTTGCTATCTGCCATCTGCAGTCTGCTCACCTTTGTGGGTAGTGGGTAATAAAAGTGCTTCGCTTTTCTACTTCAGCATATTTTTTAGTAGGAAAGTAAATCTAGTTGGGACTTCAATGATAGGGTTAAAAATAAAAAATTTCCAAAAACAGAAAAAACAGAAATTTTTACGTAAAACCAGTTTTTGACAAAATCGATTTTCTTTTTATAGTGACTCAAAAACGAAAAACCGTAAATAAATAAAATTATCACAGAATGTTTATATGATGATCTTCCATGTACCTACCTTTTTATATTATACCTAAAAGATAAGATTTGCAAAATTTTTTTTAAATTTTTGCCGATAAACAATTTTTCACTGACAAAAAACTTAAAAATCTAATACAAGGTCCTCATAAGTTGTGATTAGTAAAATTTAAAAAAAAGTTGAAAGTACATCCATGATCATTTTTTATGAGTATCCGAAGTTAGAATTTTAGTCAAAATCGAGAAAATTTGCAAGTTGAAAATTCATAAACAATTTCTTCTCATAGATAACATTTTTTCTAAGTATATGTGGGCATTGGGCAAGTGTTATTATTTAAATCGAGAGTATCTACACTACATACAAATACATCGGTACATGTATACGTCTTGTTTCTACTGAATATAGTTGACATTAGAATGTCGATGTCAATTTGGTATTAGATACGAGGAGACGAGGATTAAACTGTAGGTAACTTTTTTAACACGTGTAAAAAATAAACAAGTTTCAAAGACAGGAACTATTTATTTATTTTTAAAAGACAGCAATTATTTTATAGAGTATACATTTTTCTAAATTTTTAATTTAAACTACAGAATCGTCATTTACAATACTTTTAGTGATGGATAATAAATGACGGTGTGTACTGAAATATGAAACGTACTCAAGAGTTTCAAGCTTCTCGATGTGTCGATAAAATAATAATAATAATAATAATAATCGCACCAATGACGTCATGGTAATATTCTCGGTGTCGGACAAATTCACAGAATGACCCCCAGCCATAAGACATATAGGTACATGTAAAAAACATTATTTGAATAGACACAAACATTTTACATAGGTATATCATACATTTCACTTCTATATACGATATACCTAAGCAATGAGATTTTCAAAATAATTTGATTAGTTTAAGCTATTACATATTTATAGTTTATACTATGAACCTTATTACGCCGTTCTACCAGCATCTAGGGCAGTAGCAAGGGCAGGTCCTAGGCCCTCAACCCTCGTGCTTTGAGCTCGGATTGGATTATTCGGGTTCAAAAAAAAAACAACAAAGTAGGTACAACGTATACACATATTAAAAAACAAAAGGAGTTAAGTGGATGTCGCTCTGCTATACAGTAGATTACAAGTGGGTCAATGTATAATGGTTGTATTAAACTTGAATTCAATGATATAATATATCATCGTATAAGAAAAACGATTCTGAGCGAAGACGGTTTATCAGTTTGAATTTTTAAATTTTTATTATTTATTATAGTCTTTAAGTTGAATTAATATTATAATGTTATAATTTTTTATTCGTTGCTACGGTGATAAACAAATCGTTAGAAATTAAAATCCCATTTTAAGCGGTTTTTAGTAATTTGTCAGTAGTTTTTTCCGTGGTATTCAATAACTATTGAGAAAAACGAAATATGACCTCTCTAAAGTAATATCTTGATCCAATTTTCTAAAAGATAAGATACTATATGTTGAAATCGAAGCACTCCTTATGGTAGAAATTTTGTATACAGGATATAAAAAAAAAAAAAAAAAAATAAACACCATTGTAAAATCACTAGCTTCCTCTCTCCGCTCAGAATCTAATATCAAATAACAATATAATCGTAATCGGAATTTCGCAATACATGAGCTGCTCAGCTGTGGTTATGTGCGGGTCAAGCGGCCGCCGACCGACTTTTTTGTGTTTTGGTGACCCACAAAATATCCGAAAATATATTTACGACATAGTATATTGTGAGGAAAGGGCGGGAAGTGATCTATTTCCATCCCGGGCGTGTGAGGCACGAGCCGCATTTCAATCATGACTGAAATTGCCTTCCAGCATGAGCCACGCATGACATACTATTTTTTGTCACGTCTCTGCGTTCATCGATCCCGCCATCACGGCAAAGGTAATGCACGCTTTTTTTTTTCGAGTTAATCGAGAGACGGAGGAGGAACTGCGTTAGCATTACTTCTCCTCAAAGCATTACTTCTCCTCAGCATTACTTTTCCTCAAAGCATTACTTCTCCTTAAGGTATTACATCTCCTATAAAGTAATGCAGGCTGGGAACTATGCTGCATAGTCTATGCAACAACCAAACTATTCTACGAAAACAATATTTCATGAAGGAAACGATTTGGTTTTATTTATTTTAAGCGCAATGCATTGAGGTTATAATATGAATATTAGATGTAACCAAAAGTTAATGTTTTGTAAGGACAGTGGTGATTTCAGTATAAATAATAATTATTATAATAAAATAAAATAAGAATAAAAAATGTAATAACGGCAAAGGTAATGCATTATGGAGAGATCTATGCAACAATCAAATTATTATACGAAAATAATATCATGAAAGAAAAATGTTTACGCGTCGTACAAGGAGGTTAAAATTAAAATGCATGGGGCCTCACACACAAAAAATGTTCTACACTCCATTGTATCTACACAATAACATTTTCAAAATATTTTGACTCTTTTTAAGCTATTTATAGGCAGAAGAAAATTTCGATTTTTATAAGTTTATTTTTTAACGAATTTAATCAATGTACAAAAAATACTGTTTTTAGGTATGAATTTTAAAAATGATTTAAGAACAAATAAAGAAGCACTTGCTTTAAATTTAAAGGTTTTTGTTCAAAATTTAACCGCAACAACTTTACCCCATACCTACATAAATCAATAAAAACAAAAAATTAAAATTAAAAATATAATGCCTAGTCTCAAAATATTTTTTGTTGCAATATCCTGTCTAGAAAATGCAGGTAGAATAAATATTTGTTAATAATGTCATGTCATAGATGACATAGATATGTGGTTAAATATTTCTCAAAAGAAAAGTTACTCATCACAATAACAATAACCAACAACTACAGTTTACCATTCATAAGCATACCACTAAAACGTATACAATAAAACAATACAAGATATCCATAATAATTATAATCATAATTTATTATAGCAAGTTTAAATTACATTATACACATGTACATAAAAAAAATATATATATTTATATATTATGTTTATAGAGATTTATAACTGTGAATAAAATAATTTTAACTATAAAACAAAAATGTTTAACTGCTAATAATATAACAAAGAATTTTTTATTATCCCAATAAAATATATATATATTCCCATTGATAAGAATTAAATTTAAATACATACCAACTTAAGAAATATACAAATAATTCTCTTCCCCAACCCGATTATTTCTAATTCAATAACGGCCTAGTTATATTTTCTTTTTTTTTTTGTAAGTAAATGATTACTTAATTGAGAAAAAAATATTAGTTTTAGATAATGAAATTCACATAACTATAGTAAAAAAACTGGAAACATTTTCTAAATATTTTTAAGTTCTATAATAATATATTTTAATACTAATTCAATGTTGAACGGAGATCATTTTATACAAATTTTTCAAAAATTCTGGTCATTGCATTACATAAAAAGAAACTGGCACATTAGAAAATCGTTGATTTCGATCTTACACATATACAAATACATAACTAACCAATGGAGTTAGTATACAACCATGAATACGCACATCTTAACATAAGGAAATAATAATTTAAAATTTCAAAAAAAAATTGTACAAAATAAAACATGCTATGAGACTACACAAAATAATTTTATCATTATCAACTAAATAAGACTAGAATACAAAAGGATAATGTAATTTGATATAAAAAGTCAAAATTATAAGATTGTGTAATATGAAGGAATGGCTTGTAAAAAGTACATTTGTAATAATAATCTTAATATAATTACTTGTGAGCCTATTAAGTATTTAGTATAATCATATATAATGTACAAAGTAATTGATACATAAAATCGTAATTAACATGAATGCCAAGTATATTTTTTTGGTTTTTTAATTTTTAGCAATTTGACATAACATAAAATGAGGAACACCAGTTCAATCAACATTGTTGACTTTAATCTTACACTTTTCAGAAGAGAAATCAGCTATTTACTTGAAGGATTAACATTTTCAGTATAATTACTGATTTCCAAATTGCGTGTGTAAATATAACCAACTACCAACAGTACTTAATTTTAAAAAAATAGATTATTATTGCACATTTAAATAATCTAAGTCGTCAAGACAGAATCTATCAATTAAAATAAAATATTTTTTTAACACAGAAAACTAGAATACATCTGAATACAATAACCTATTGCAAGGTAAGATATACATGTTTTAATAAAAAAAATCTTACTGTTGGTGTTATCAGTATATAATTTATCATTTGTAGCTACATGAGGGTTTGCACTCTTCAGCTGTTACAGGATATTTTTTACCGCTCCATGGCGGTGTTAATAAGTTTGATGGAGTTACTGGACCCTTTACTCGAGATAATTGAATAAGTTCAAATCTACTCTGTGCTAAATCCTAAAAGTATAAATAAATTTAGTTAAGGTAATTTATTATGTCATAAGACTGTCAACATTAATCAATATTATATTTTTGATCAAATACAATTCTAAAGTGGCGGCGGGATATAGGATTATTTGAAGCAATTGCTTCATGTCTGAAATGGACAGTAAATGGGGGGTAGGTGTATAAATATATATATAATCGTAAGACCTCAACAAAAATATTAAGGCAAAATTTATAATTAATTATTATTAATTATTATTAATGGCCCCTGCTGCTAATTTTGGTTCAACGAAGGGTACACGGTGGTAAAAATATTTAAAATATACAATATGCTTCAAAGCCTACACAATTTCACACCGCCACTGCAATTCTATTACACAGATAAAATATATTAAATGAAGACGTGTACCTTTTTTACATCTGAGTGCAAAAATAATAAACAAATAAGAATGAGAAAATGTTTAAAATTTGTTGACGAAACATAAGAAAAATGTACAAGTGATACTTACATACATATCCATGCTGACTAAGTGTTGTTGTTTAACATGGGTGCCATCTACTTGTTCTGAATCATTTTCAAAATCAATTTCTTCATACTGGTATTCTTCAAGAATTACACTCCAATACACAGACATCCATTCAACACAATTATATACGTTTCCTTCTGATAAACCTAATTAATTAAACAATTAAATTATAATTGAAAATTCAACTGAAAGGATTTCATAAATAACTTACCGGAAATGGTTAAAGCAATTTTTTTATTAAGCACTATTGTAAGTGCAGACGCTGCCAATTCACTGTAAGAGTAACGTAAACTCGTTAAATCTAGACTAGCTAGATCTAAAAGATGAGCCACCTGATTGAATAAATTTTGAGGAAATTGTGGAACAATCAAACTGTCTTCAGCTGTACTATCATCAACACATATGAATTGTAGCATCAATTCTACCCAATAGTTTATAGAAACAGGCGTTAAACGGAAACGCAAATGCTAAAAATTATACATAAGAAATTAGTTACTTCATTGTGATTAGTTTAATTATTATTTATGTGTAATTACCATTAATAATATTTTCTCCATATCTAACAGATCTTCATCAGTACATGCACCATCGGTGACGTAAGCAAATTCAGTCAGTTTAGGAGGGTAAATCTCTTCCATTTTGGCAGCCATAAATAGACAAGTAATTCCTATATACAAAAATAAGTTAACCCTAAATTAACTTGTCTTTGTATGGCTTTAAAATTAAGGCTAGGAAAGTGTAATTACCAATGAGTTGTAATTTTTGTTTAGGAATAGAATCACTATTTGATAAATATCGGTCTAAATAATCCATAGCTAAATAATAAGTTTCTCGGTGTAGCTTATAAACAGATGACACCTAAAATCAAATAAATACATTGTAATTAATAACATATATGAATAATCTAAAATATGATAACATGAATAATTTATTATGAAATAATACCTCAATTAGCCAATCTAAAAGAATAGCTCTCATTCGGGGTGTTATATGTTCATGACAATCATGGTAATCAGGATTCCTATAAGTTAATGTGGCAGAATCTCTATTACATATCATCTGCCAAAAAGCTGAACGTTTCCCCCAAGGGATTTCTGGTAATGGACATGGTCTGTCATTTAATGCAACTGGTTTCTGGTTGATAGCCATGTCACGAAATCTGAAGCAATGACAAAATAACAAAGTTAATTATATTGTTCGTTACATTCTTAAATAATTAGTAACTTACTTGCTCCAAGTAGTAACTAAGTTACTCCCCACACTTTCTTGAATGTTTGAATAACGTGGAGTAGGCACATAGGTAGGTGGATCATTTTCAATATTTTTCTTTGGTTCAGAACTATCAATACAATCTGGACTTGATTCATTGTCAGATAATAATGGGGCAGGTTCACTGAGAGCAGGACTACTAGCTTCTGATTCCGACCTAAGTATATCAAATAAATTTTAGACATTTTCACTATTAATTTTTTTTTTTTTTATCACTTACCTATCATCTGAATAAATTGTATGAGAGTCTGGAGACAGAACTTGTAACTCAGATAGTGGCCGTCGTTCTACACTTCCATTATTACCAACACTTAATTGTTGAAAGGAATCATTATTTTCAGAATTAATTTGAAATGGATCCGAGTTAGCTCGTACTCTGGAGTTTCTTTGTAAATTAGTAAAATATTGATGCTCGCTATCATCAGATTGTGATGACTGTGATGAACTGTGTAATTTAGATCTAGATAAAATACTTGGGAGCTCAACAGGACTATGGTCAATTTTCATCCTCTTGCCAGACACAGTACCATTATATAAATAACCTTCAGAGTTCTAAATATAACAAATAATTCATGTCTTCAATTAAAACAAATTGTACAATTGAATTACTTAATTAAGAAGAGAATTGAGTTTAAAAATATGTATCTTTTATTACTTTAATAATGTTAACACTTTTAAAGGATTCCAAATTTCTATGAGAAATACATTAATACTGTCTTTGTATTCCAGCCATCTACAGAATATATATATGTATACATATATACATTCTGGTAATAACTAATAATTAACAGGTAAATATATTAAAATAAGCAACTCATTTTTATAAAAGCAATAAATATTTCATAGTACTCCTTTAGTATTACTATAACTTCAAAAAAATATCAATATCAAACATGGCTTAATCAAAAAAACTTAATCATTATCTTAATTGTATAAGTACTCAGTGATAATATCTAATAGTATTGTTAAAATTTAGGTGCCTGGTAAAGTAGAAAAGTTCCTTTAATTATTTTGTTTTTCTACTTGAAATTATTTAAGAAATATTGGATGGAAAAGTAAAAAAAAAAAAAAAAGGAAAATAATATTTAAAACTACAAATAAACAATAAACATGGGCTTACATGTCTTTTCCTTTTCAAAACACCATCAATGTTAGATGAACTGGCTTCATTCATTGTAGTAGGCTGTGAGAAATGAGTTATGTTAATCTGAAAAATAATATTAATTTCAAGAATTATAGCTATGTTTTGTTCTTTTTCACAGCATTAAATTATGTAAAAAAGAAAACCTTTAGATATATGTATATAATAAGTATAATTTTATTAACATATAATAAGCAGAAAAAAATAAATGGAAGTATTGATGAATCAATTTATTATTAGGTATATTATATATCAACTCTTCAAAATAGACAGGTTAATATATAAGTTACCTAGTCATTATAAGATTATTCAAGAAAATCAAATGTATGCCCCTACATACAGGATATTTGCAATAAATAAGTAATTAAATTTAATTATACACCATAGTAGATAATAATATTATGTACATGTAAGTGGAAGGCCGGAAGGGTAAGTACTAAGTAGCCATCCTAACCATTTGGATTAAAAATATACACGAATTATATGACTATAATGATGGGTATGATGGCTAAATTAAAATACAATACTTATAATACAGATACAATTTACCTAACAGAACTAAAATTAAAATTTGTATAATATTTTTGCTTTAATGGTAGGTATAGTTTAAATCGAGATATTAACGAAATAGACGATGAGTAATACAAGTTATATAACTACCATAAAAAAATTGTATTTGTTTTAGGTAGGTAGATATACCTACTATTATGAATTAAATCTAAAAACTGTAGATTTATGTAACCCGAACACGTATTCGGCAGTCACCATGAAGATGTCAATGTTAGTTGACTTACAATACAAGTATTCAAAAAAAAAAAATTTGAAAATCGCTAGCGTATTAAACGTTATACTACCGTATGGTAAAGATAATTAATATAATACAAGATATTATTAAGTATTTTTTTAATAACTATTAACTGTTAAAACTACCTAAGCAAATTTATTGCGGGTATGAGAGACCACTAAGCAGTCGGAGTGAGCGTCTTATTCTTTTTTACTAAAACATAATTGAAAATTGTTTCAAGCGATGAAAAGTTAATAGCATACGATAGTCAGATACGATGGGCAAAAATCGAAATGTCTCATCCGGCGAATGTAAATGGCAAAGGCGAGAACGATTCCCGTACGACAAAAAAAATAAAAAGGTGACGCGTGGACTGAACAACGACATTGGGCGGGCTTTTGGCCTCGGGCGGTGACGCGATGGTGGCGGGAAACGCGCGCTCCGCAAGAGTACGTGGATGATGCGAGGAAACGGGCGCCAAAAGCGTTTTCCCTATTGTCCGCCTATTGCGCGCGAGTTCCGTGCTCCTCTACTAGGGGGGCCCGCTGCCGCCGACCGGCAGAGGTCACCGGAATCGCGATCGCTCGTTTTCCGCGCGCGCAAAAACCACCGTTGCCAATTGGACCCTACTGTGAGACTTCTAAGTTTTCACGGATGACCAAAAAATAGCAAACGAATACGGACGCGGAGATACTTCGTGTGAACCATCGACAAAGAGACTTTTTGACAATGTTTTTTTGCAAATTCCACCAAACGCAAATTATTTAAACGTCCAGAAAAAGACTGCTACAATAACATATGACATGTAGACTTACAAGTGAGTTGGCGTGCTGCGGTCGCCAAATCGTCCCTTCCGGCCGGATAAACCGCACGGGGGAGGGACGAGAAGAGTATGCGAATCGGAATGTTCCACCTCGGGCCCTGCGACGGCGAACAGACGGACGTAGATCATAAACTGAATTAATATTGTTGTTGAAAAAATTCGTCGAGACAAGCGGACGAAATTCGTTTGGTATAAATTTAAAATTATTCGAACGACAGAGGAAGTACTTCGGCGACGACAATAACTTGGCCGGAGCAGGCAGAGCGTATGTCGCGTCCCAGGGTTCACGGTGAACGAGCGACTGGTCGGCGGTGACGGGCGAAGAGACAATGATCCCGACTGTGGCTGCCGACGGCAGACGGAACCGGTTATGGGCGGAGGGGCGCGCGAAGCGCAGGAATGCCGGCCCCCTTTGCGCGCGCGCGGGCGCTTTGTTGACAATACGGATCAGCTGATCGAGCTGGCAACAGCTGACCGTCTGGCGCCGACGTCTGCCGCGCGGTAGATCCCGCCTAAAAACAACACACAAACACGCGCGAGCCGTCCGTCGCCGTGGTCGCGGGTTTACCGCCAAAACAAAGCTGTCCGCGGCGATAACGCCGGCGGCGCGCTCGTCACTTGCAGTTTACGATGCGCGATTGCGTAATACTTATAAAACAATAATACTATCATCATTGTTTTTTATTTACTTATCATCCTACGTTAGGAGAAAACATTTTCTTTTTTTATTCATTATTATTTATTATTGTTGTTATGCGATATTGTTGTTTCAATCGAATATGTATAATACCAACTATAAACGTAAACCGGAGCGAAGACGAAAATAAATTAAAACCGAGAAATTTTATAAAAATTATAATGTGCACTATTCATAGTTGATCCAATCAAACGAAAAATTTCTATTTTTCCTTTAAAGTAACGTTGACGGTATGCCGATAACGCGGTCGTGAGATGGTTCGATTTTAGTGTCCCATAACGGGATGTCATGACGGAAAATAATATTTAACGACGGGTATAAATTAAAATTGTACAACCGATTAACCGGTCTGCCGGTGTATGGATAATATTCTCCGTTGGCAGAAAAATCTGTGATCTGACAATAATTAATAACGATTTTTAACAATCGTCAAATATTGTGATGTAGTTTAATCCCCGTCATCACGGGTTTTTACTAATTAATTGATTTTTTATAATTTAAATTGTCTTCATTCGAACATATGAATAATAAACTACTGACAGTTCTCAATAGAGCACATAAATACATGATTGATGATACAAGTATTTATCAATAATAACCACGGACTAACATATAATGAACTGGAAACGCGCAGCTTACCAGTGCCCACAAATGTATATACAAGAGGCAATGTCGGGGGGTCGCAACGGGGACCTAGAGTTTACAACGCCATCTGTATAAAACACGGACTAAGTTACAAAATGTAAAGCCAAATAAAACCACTGGTAGCGTTGAAAACATTGGATTCCCAGTGTGAGGAACCTTTTTGGTGGCCGTCCCTCGACCCCCACTGATCATGACCATTTTCCAGTCCATTATATCTTAGGCCGTGTGTATAACTAACAAATGTTACCAGGTTACCTTCGTACTAACTACTAATTGCTTATCTGTCATTATGCTCTCATAAAAAAAGGAACACTAGGTATAACGTATATGCACTACTATTTATTATCCTAATTCCTAGGTAATGAATCAGAAAGTCATTAATACAGTTTATAGTTTATAATACACAAAATTATGGTCGTAACTTGTATACCAAATTACCAAATAAATAAGAATCCACGTCATTATTGGAACACGTACGGAAAGAAATGTTGTTCTTGGTTTCTTTTTGTTATAAAAATCAATTTTTGGGGGGATTCTTTACCATGACGTACACACAAACGCGCCTATTAAAATATGTATACTAGCTACATTATTTGTATACATATATACAAGTTATCAATGAAACCAGAAAGAAAAATAAATGTTTACCTACCCAGTACACTGGTATTTCTTGTGAAAGGTTATCATGACTTCGAATACGTAAAAATTATTATTTCTAAAAGATGCTTGGAACTCAGTTAGAAATATGTCTCTATCTAAATAAAGTAACATGTGTTTTATGTAATTAGTAGTTACAGGCTTCGTTACCAAATTAATACCATTATTTCTACGCACTATAAATAAATATTCTCATTTATTTCATGCGTATAAAAATTATAAAACGCGCTTAAAAATATCATTAAGTCTTTTGATAAAATATAACCAATAAAAATGATAAATTAAAAATAATTCATACATCACTACATTATTATTTGTTAATAAATAAATATAATTTGATGCTTTTAATAAAAGAATTTATAATGATTAATGACTAATAAGTAATGAGATTAGTTATCGCTAAGCCTAAGCGGTAGAAATAATAATTTACTTATATTATATTGTAAACGTAATAATATGTTTTTTATCTGACAAATTTTGATTCGTAATTAGTAGGTATTAATTACATATATTCAACGGCTCAACGCATACATACATAAAGTATTTTTAATTCAATTATTGATTGTTACATTCATCCTATGAAATATCGTTATTGTTAAAAATGTGTAATAAATATGCTATACTCTACCTATTATAATTCTATACACGACATATATTATATATTATATAGGTACTATCGATATAAATCATCATCGGGCAAAATTTAGATTTGAAACGGTCTGTTATGAAAAATGTTCATGGTCGTAATTCTAAAAGGGCGTTGGTTCGTCGCACTTTTCTCTGGAGTTTCGTCGAAAAGATTTTTTCTGACGCCTGTCGTCGTATCACGACAGAACGAGAACCCCCGGCGTGCCATCATAAATAAATGCATTGTATTATATATGTATACATGCCTACGTCTGCCATAAAAAAAGTAATAATAATAATGCCCATCACAGTGATCAATGAGTATCAAATTTGGATTCACCTGCAGCAGCAGCAATTGTAGAACGATGTTATTTTGTTTCCTCTGCCGCGCAAAAGAGGACCAACAGAAACGTATGCAAAAACCCGTCTGCCCATTATAGTCGTGGGTAGCGTTCGAAATCTTTATAAGTATAATATTATTTTATATAATATACAATATAAGACTGCCTCCAGCAGCATTCCATTTACGTTGTTTTGGTTGGCGCCAATTGGTCTTTGTGGGTACAAAAGGGATTATATATCATTACAAGGCCGACGCGGTCCAGGAACCATATAACCATATATACGTACGGGTCTCGTCCTCGGGCAGCGGCGGCTAAACGGAGTGTCCCTTTTGTCCTTAATGCAGCAGGACAAGAAACTCGGAGTATTATTATTTATTACAATAATACCGTCCGGTCCTGTGGGATATTTTGCCGCGAACTCACTGTTATTATTTTTGTACGTCATACGTGTAATAG